GGCGATCATGCCATAATCCAAACTGATCAGGGTTTACCAATCTCCAGGATATGGTGGCGCAGGTTTCAACGGCCTTAATCATGACACAATACAAACCCATAGAAGAAGCTTCTAGCTTCTCATGGATGGTCTTCAGGCCCATCTTATAAGAGGTAATGCCAATATATTCTTTATTTTGCTCATAAATAGTCTCAATATGGTACCCATTACGGCGTACATCTTTGAAGCTAAGCAGATTCCTTTTTGATCTACTGCTTAGAAATGCATTCTCAATATGCAGGATGGTACCTTTTGGCAAAACAATTGTGGCATTCCCGAAACCATCAATAATCGGAATAGGACCTGATATTGTATGGACATGTGCCTTACGCAATGTCATACTCGAGAAAAAGTGTCTACTACGAAATATGGTATGTGTTGATGCACTATCAAGCAAACAAACATCTTTCTTTTTCTCGGTATTTTCCATTTGCTTTTATGTTGACAACTTCAGGTGTCAAGTATCATAAAATTTTCATATTAATTATAGGATCAAATAAAATTTCAAAATCATAAATATTATATCAGGTTCATAAGCATTTCATTGCATAACCATATTAAAGAACAATAAAAGGTAATACATTTAAAGAAAAGCAACTAGAAAAGAACTTATTAGAATCATAAAATTCGAAGTCTAAATTATCATCCACCAGTGTGATGCCTCATCAAAGTAATCAGAGGTCCTCAAAGAAATCAGAGACATCCAGGGATGCATTTGCTACTTCAGGAGCAAGAGGAGTCCCACCAACAGAGATATTGTTGGCCTTAACAGTGATTATGGCAACAGGATTAATTTCAATGGCATGAGATTCACCACGCTTACCCGTATTTTTTAAAGATGCCTGGTATAGATCAATAAAGTGCTTTGGCGTTCGACAAGTACGTGACCAGTGCCCAGTCATGCCACAACGATGACAAATACTTTCATTAGTCACCTTCTTTGGCTTCTTTTCTTTGTCATGATTCAGGCCAAAGTTAGATTTCCTAGGGCGGTTAAATTTCTTGCCACCCCTTTGAGGATTATATTCTTGCCTGTGCTTGTAGCCCTTAAAATGGCCAGTAATTTTCTCAGAGTTATCATGAGCTTCAGGCAATGCTTTTGAGCCAACAGGTCTAAGATCATGATTTTTGAGCAGCAATTCATTAGTTTGCTCAGCAGTGAGGAGCACAGAAATTAATTCAGAGTATGTGGCAAATTGACGCGGCCGGTATTGCTGTTGCAATACAATATTCGAAGCATGGAAGGTGGAGAAAGTTTTCTCTAACAGTTCCGCATCAGTGAGCTTGATACCGCATAACTCAAGCCGAGAAACAATATCAAATAAAGCGGAGTTATAGTCAGACACTGATTTAAAATCTTGTAGTCTGAGATTTTGCCAGTCATATTGTGCTTGAGGAAGGATAACAGTCTTGGTATGATCATACCTATCCTTCAACCTCTTCCACAGGGTCTGAGGGTCTCGAACGGATAAATATTGAGTCTGCAGGCTCTCATGCAAATGACGACGAATAAAAATCAGTGCATTTGCTTTATCTTTTGCATTTGAGGTTCCGTCTTCTGTAATTGCATTAGCGAGATCTTGCCCTTGGAGGTGCATTTCCATGTCAAGGCACCAGGATAGATAATTATTTCCACTCACTTCCAGGATGTGGAATTTGGGCTTTTCAATATTTGCCATAATTCTTGCAAAACAAATGAATCCTTAAATTAATTAGAAGGATTTCCAAATATCCACCGCCACTTCAGGAGCAGAAGAATACTTTTAGATTGGAAATTGGCTTCGGGCCAAGAAAAGAAAAATGAAGAATTGATAGGAGAAGATGAAGTATAAGTTGATTAGTGAAAACAAAGAGAACACTTACCTTGCAAAAATTATTTACTCAATTGGTAGATCTTCGTGCTGATAATGTGTTGTAAAATATTGCGTTGCAAGAATATAATAGAGAGAATAGAGAGAGATTAAGTAGAGAAAGTAGATAAACACCAAAGATGGTAGAGAAAGTCAGAGGAGAAATTTTATTTTCACTGTATATTTTCCTCTTTCATTCTCTTCTTCTGTTCTGAATTTTCTTACACAATGACCAAAACTAAGCTCGTATTTATAAGAAAACAAGGATGCACATATCATTAATGTCAATGTATTGAATATATATATTGAATAGGGAGATGGGCATTCATTGGAGATGTATGTAGAATGTAGGTTACAAATGTACCATAATAGGTACATTGAATATTCATTCATGTATGTAGGTTACGAATGTGCCATAATAGGTACATTGAATATAATGAATATTCATTCATGTATTTCATAATAATTAGCAAAATTAAAAAGTTTAGAACTGAATTTGTCACCATATTAGAGGTTTAGGATTTTGTGGATAATTATTCCCACTTTTGCCTAATGTATTTGACTAAACTAGCAAATCTTTTTTTTTCTTTGCTAAGACTTGTAGAATGATTATTTCCATCAAATCACATCCTAAGACTTTGGCTGTGTGTAGCATGAGTCTACTTTGGATTTAGAAGAGGTTTCTATTTTGGATTTAGAAGAAGGAAATGGTACGTTTGGTGGCACCGGAGCCACTGGAAAAAAAAAAAACAAAAGTCATTAAGAATGACAGTAATTAGGGAATTGCTTGTTATCCTTAATCATCAATTTATCTCATGAAGAGGTTTCTAATATGGATATAGAAGAACGAAATGGTAAGTTTGGTGGCACCGTAGCCACTAAAAAGCAACAAAAAATTTACAAAAGTTTACTCTTTGGGTAAGTAAGATTTACAAATGTTGGTGTGCAAAATTTCACTCTTCAAATACTAATAAGCAACACTTGGAATTACGATTGAAAATGTGTTGATTAACGCACCATCAAGAAGGCACAACCGTTCGACATCTTCAAATAGCATACAAGCGATAGAAATTTCACGTTTATAGTATAATTCTGAATAAGTTATTTGAGCAAAATTCCCACTCATAATGATCAACAAATCGAATATACTTGTAGAATGATTATTTCCATCAAATCACATCCTAAGACTTTGGCCATGTGTAGCGCGAGTCTATAAGCTTTTTCCATTTTTTAGAGTGACTTTGTTTTCAATCAATCCAAGTGTCTTTTCAAATTTGTATAGTGCATGAATGGCCAAAGCAGCATGAAATTTCAATGATGGAATTGCTTTTCGCTTCCTATAAAAGGTTCTCCTATGAAAACTAACTCCATCAAAAAGAAGAAAAACAACACAAAAATATGGCACCCTCATTATTCTACATGTTTTGTACTTGGATCATCTTCCTTGCTATGTTTTCTACTTCATTTGCTAATGCCCTCTATCATGCAGATGAGAGCTCTTCCTTGATGGAATTCAAGAGAAGTTTTCAAACCAGCTGAGCAGATTCATTTTCAATACAACTTGGGTTATCCGAAGGCTGAATCATGGTCACTAGATGGACATGGAGATTGCTGCTCATGGGATGGCGTCGAGTGCGACAAGGCCACTGGTCACGTGGCAGGCCTTGACCTCAGTAACAGTTGTCTCTTTGGTACCATAACTTCCAACACTAGCCTCTTTCACCTCCACCACTTGGAATCACTCAATCTTGCTTGGAATGACTTCAACACTTCCACAATCCCACACGGCTTCGGCAATCTTTCTAGGTTACGCCATCTTAATCTCTCTGGTTCATACTTTTTGGGGAAAATCCCATCAGATATCTCACAGCTCTCAAGATTAATTTCCCTTGATTTGTCTTTTGCATGGGTGTCTCTTGAGATGCCCAACATAAACAACTTTGTTTAGAACTTAACTATGCTGAGAGAACTCGATCTCTCTTATACAAGCATGCCATCACCTTTCCCAAATGTACTTGCAAACTTCTCCTCTTTGAAGTCGCTTAAACTTATATCTTGTCAATTGCATGGAGAATTTCTAGTAAGCATCTTTCAGTTACCAAACCTAGAATTCCTTGACATCAGTGACAATGAAAACCTTTCTGGTTTTATTCCGGAACAACATTGGGGTAATCGCTTGAAATCAGTCTCTACATGGCACAAATTTTTTAGGGGAAGTACCCATTTCGATCGGAAACCTCGTTTTCTTGAACAAATTATCAATTTGGGATTGTCATTTCTTAGGTTCACTTCCCATTTCACTAAGTAATCTTTATCAGCTTGCTTATTTGGATATATCAGTTAATAAATTCCAGGGTCAAATCCCCGCTTCCTTCGCTAATCTCACCCAGCTGTCAACTCTATATCTCCGTTCCAATAATTTCAGCGGTGGTATTTGGCATTGGCTTGTCAACTTGGCAAAACTCACCTATTTGGAACTTTCAGGTATTAGTTTATCCAGTAGCAAGGTTCCTCAACCAAAAAAGAAAACAAATTGTTGAGATTCACTTGATAGCCAAACTAACCGTCCATGTTTCTTTACATTTGGCAGATGTTCAGCTAATTGGTCCAATTCCATCTTCATTTGAGAACCTTACGCAGTTGGTTGAGCTTGACCTTTCATCCAACTATTTGCAAGGTGAAATTCCAAGCTCATTATGGGAACTCATGGATCTTGAATATTTGGATTTTAGTGGGAATAATTTGAGTGCCGTCGTGGATTTACACAAACTCAAGAGCTTGAGAATGTTAAATTTGAACTCCAGCAACATATCTTTTGTCATCAAGATTGAGATGAATGCCACTTTTCCAAAACTTTCCACTTTAATTTTAAATTCATGCAACTTACATAGGTTCCCAAAGTTTTTAGGCTACCTAAGCGGATTAGAGTGGGTAGATCTTTCACACAGTAAAATCGGGGGGAGTACTCCTACATGGATGGGGAATGGTAGCAGAGAATCCTTATGATATATGGATCTTTCTCACAATTTTCTAACTAGCTTTGGGAACAACCAGATCAATCTGCCACTACCCAAGTTGACCTATCTTGACATTAGTTCTAACTTGCTCACAATGGAACTCCCTACTCCACCTCCATCAGTGACTTATTACAACATCCTCTTCGGAGAAATTCAATCTATTTGTAGAGCAAGATCCCTCTTTGTTCTTGATTTGTCCAACAATAGTTTGAATGGCACAATTCCTTCTTGTCTAGGAAATATCGATTCTTTGTCAATTTTGGATCTTGGGAAAAATAAACTTGAGGGCACGATTCCTCATGCTTACCCAAAAGGTTGTGCGTTGATATTGATTGACCTCACAAAGAATCGATTGCAAGAGCCTATCCCAAGATCTTTGGTGAATTATACAATGCTAGAGTATTTGAACCTTGGTTACAATCAAATTCTCGATGGGTTCCCTCCATGGCTATCTGAATTGACCAAGCTGAAAGCTATTATCTTGAAATCCAATAAGTTACATGGTCCAATAAAAACATATCGAAGCCAATTTAACTTCAGCAATTTGCATATCATGGACCTTTCCAATAATAGTTTCAATAGTGAACTTCCTTCCAAGTTGTTGAAGAGTTTCCATGCCATGGAAGTGGTTGTTAGTCAAGATCAATTGGAATATATGAATACTTTTGAAGTGATCCCTTCGTCCTTGTCTACAGTTGCTAGATCTTTATATTATGAGATGAAGTTGACAAATAAAGGAACGGAAAGGGAATACTTGAAAGTTCCATTTGCGCTTATGCAAATTGACCTCTCCGATAACAAATTCAAAGGACACATACCTGATCTCATTGGAGATTTGAAGTCACTTGTTTTGCTTAACCTTTCAAACAATATTCTCTCCGGTTCCATCCCACCTTCCTTAGCAAATTTGACAAAGCTCGAATCTCTAGATCTTTCTCAAAACAAGCTCTCCGAAGAGATCCCTCAACAGCTAGCTCAACTTACATTTCTTTCATCCTTCAATGTCTCCCATAATCAACTATCGGGACCAATACCACGAGGAAGTCAGTTTTAACACATTTGCGAAAGATTCATTTTCCATGAATGAATTATGTGGTAGTCCCTTGCCAAAAAAATGTGCAACGGGTGGGGTTAACTTACCATTACCAACATCTTTCGGGGAAGAAATAGGCGAAGAGTTTCCGTTCAACTTGGATTGGACATTTGTGCTAATTGGCATTGGAGTTGGGTTTTTGATCGGCGTTGTGCTAGGGAACTTGATCATTGACGAGAAGAGTAGGTGATTCTTACACTACTCCAAGAGAATGGCCAAACGATGGAAAAGATCGGGAAGGCACTGAACAATAAAGAGTTGTACATGCAGTAACATACTTTTGTAACACTTATCATTAATGTAATCTTTTGTGTGTTTAGTTTGTGCTAGAAATAAGAAAAGATAGAGCATATAATATTCCTCTTATTGTTATATCGTTCATTTGAATTTAACTAGAAGAACGATCACACAAGCTAAACTAGTAGACGTGAAGACACAAGAGCGAGGCCAAACAGTCCTCATTCAAAGCAGAATTGATCCTGACCTTCATGTTAATGTGATAAGCAGCGAACACCTCAAATCACAGATTCAATTTACCTTCGATATTACACGCTTAATGGCCTTCCTAAAATCGACACTTATGTATTAAATAAAAAATAAAAAAAGAGTCAAATACGAGCAATACAAAATATGAAAAAAACTATGCAGAAATATAAAATTAAGTCCAAATAGTCTTTTTATATGAGATAATTTAAATGATCTGAGACTGCTCTAACTAAATTTTTTACATAAAATAATATGAGCACGAAAAGATAAGTACATTTTGGGACATAGTGACTTGATGACCAAAAACGAATGCTCCAAAATTTAAAAAAGAAAAATCAATATTGTTGTAGATATCATATTTTCCTATCAAAACGATTGTAACAAATCATCTTCTACACGCACAAAAAAAGAAAATATAATAATAACGTCGACGATACGTTATATATTCTTTCTTTGGTCAAGTCATCTTGGTCATGCCTGTGCCTTCCGTCCACTACCACCCACGTAAGTCTTCTTCATGACCGAATGTTGACAGAGGATTTCAACGCTCGAAATTCCGAACAACAACTTTGACCTGAGTAAGACAGCAGCGTGACTAACGTGGGTTTCTTGTGTGCGTTCATATTTTTAGGCTTTTCCTATGTTGTTCGTGCATAAAAATACGGCCAAAAAGAATGCTCTCTACCATGATTAAAACTTTAGGATGTGGATAATAAAAGTAATTAGGATGCGGATCCTAGTATTAGGAGATTAAATCGACCCATATGTCCTATTTGACTTAGCTTAGGGTAGTAGCTTGTGTTGTCGCACTTGATCTGTCTAAACTAGGAGGAATCCTAATTCAAAGATCAGTTCGCAGATGATATTAAGTCCATAATTTTAGCATGTCAGTACACATCCTATGTATTGGGAATTTTTAAGCAACCACGTCCTATATAATTGCTTGTGTAGAAATGAGAAGATATAACATATGCTATGTTTTGAATACGATGCTCCGCATAGCGTTCTTGCAACATGTGTCATCTTTTCCTTTCGAGGTACTTTGAGTAAATTCACATTATACCATTTTTTGACATCATAAAAAACGTCACTCACCACAAGTATTTCAATTACCATCCATCTATTCTTCCTGCGATTGTTTGATCTCAACGAATGAAAAGTTGATTGGTCAATAAAATTGGAGAAACGGTCTAATACCGCATACATCATTAAAATTTGGTATATGAATGTTCGTTTGGTCAATGAACCCAAAGTTGTTCGTTGTTAATGGTCTTTCACAATTCTTTGACATATAGACAATGTGCAATCAATTAATATCGTCATTTAATTAATTTGATCTAATAAAATGAACCATAATTTGTCCTCTCACCTCAAATAATAAGTTTGACAAGTAAAGATCAGCGGAGGCGTAGCAGCTTGGGCGCTTGCTGAACTTACACGGTGGCCCCCAAAATCTGTCGTTGAATTCTGCAAGTTTTCTCGGTGAGGGAGTGGAAACCGAGAGAGAAAGTCTTCGTGCGTGTCCTTCGTTGACCTCCAGAGAAATTGCCTCTCTCTCTCTCTATTGTGCTTCACACCTCCCACGACTTTCTTCACTGTATGATGGTGTGTTGGTGAAGTCTCCAAAGTGGGCGTGCTCTCCTTCAGCAAAAGCGGTGAAAAGGAAATCAAAATAAACCACCAGCACTCCTTTTTGCTTCGGACCGATCAATGGATTTCAACGTGCAGCCTTTTCTTTTCATCTTCCCGAGCTCTCCTTTCTTATGCGACTTTTAGAGGCCTCCTTTCTCTCTCGTGTTTCGATTGTGTTTTCTCTCCATGTTTCCCCAAGTCCAACCGCAGCCGATCCAACTAATTAACTACTAATGTAAATGTACCTAATATCTATATGTAATTTAACTAATATTTTTGTTTATGAATCGGGATCGATCCCTAATTTTTTATGCAATAAATGTCTAACTGGATCGCCAAAGTTTAGGTGTTAAGTGCTATGTATCCTTCGAATTTGTCATGGGAGAGGTCAATTTGCATAAGTGCATATGGAACTTTCGAATATTCCCTTTCTATGCCTTTATTCATCAATTTCATTCCATAATCGATAGTTTGTCCAAAATATGTAAACACGTACGAAGGGAGTATACTCACGTATTCCAACCGTTCTTGACCAACAGCTACTTCCATGGCATGGAAACTCTGCAACAACTGCGAAGGAAGTGCACCATTGAAACTGTTTTCGGAAAGGTCCATGATATGCAAATTGCTGAAGTTAAACCAATATTTTCGAAGAACATATATCTGTGATTTATGAGCTATATCTGTGATTATTTCTTGACATTTCTTGACAGAGAAACTCACTGGACAATAATAAGCAAGTCGCAAGAATTATCACATATGAGTCCAATATATCTGCGTATTAATGTGTATGCTGATGTACTCACAGATAACATGTGCATCCTGTTCATAATGAAGATGGGAACTGCTCATTTTATTATTGAGTTATTTGCTTTAGTACCAAAAACATCTGCGACAAATTTCTGATATTAAACAGCGATCGACAAATTGGACATTCTATTGTAGCTTGAATAACAATCACCTTTACAAGGATGCTTTTCTGAATGCCAGAACACCGATGGTGATTGAGAAAAAAGCCAACAAAGCTCCTTGTCTAGAAAGTGCAAATTCTGTCCATGCCAAGGGCCTCATGACTTGGAACAGTGCCTTCTGGAACTGCTCATTTAAGTCCTCTAATGATCCAGTGTTGTCAATTACTATGTCTGCCTTAGACCTTTTCAAATCCAACGGCATCTGATTATTTATCCTGTTCCTAGCATCTTCCTTTCTTGTTCTGTCTCTTGCCAGAAGCCGTCGAAGCTGAGTTTCTGGATCGACCCAGACAACAACAATGGGCTGTGTCCACTTATCCATCTTTGCCTCAAACAATAATGGGATGTCAAGAACAATAACCTTAGGTCCTTCCAACCAAAGTTCCAAAATTTCTCGGAAGATGCCGGATGATATGTAAGGAGCCAGCAGCCTACACATAAGTAAGCACAGAAAGCTTCAGGAAATTAGAAGATTAGAAGGTTTCTTATCTTGAAGTTCAGTGCAACTGTTAATGCATCATTCAAACAAACATGAAAAAATCCAAGGTGCGTCATTGGCTTCAGAATGAATAATTCAGCTATGCCCAAGGCAATGGAGGTGCAAAAATTTCAGACTGATATCACAAATTTACAGACAGCGACTACATCCCTGACGGATTAAAAAGAACTCAAAAATTATAATTTATCCCCTGTTTCATCAAAGCAAGAAATTACCCTAGTCGAGCAGAGTCTTATGCATCTGTACTTATGCAAGGTAAATTTGCTGTTGTGTCCAGCATGCTTCGATCCCCATTTTGAAGCTAGAACTAAGACTGCAAGTTTAGTTCAGATTTACCATTACCTATTCAAAACTTGACGCTTTGCAGGATCAGAAAAGACAATTTGGCCCAACTTTGGCCTATCAACTTCTCCATCAGCTTGTAGAATCTCCTCCCCAAACGCAGCGACAACTTTTTTCCATCCACCAGTCCCTTTCTTTAATACATCCTGCAAGCACAAGAAGGAATTTAAGAATTCCAAGAAGGAAAATAAAGTCTTCAAGCCCTGTCAAGTGGCAAGATGCCATCCTCACTACTAGAGGTGGCAAAATGGGTTAAAATATGGATTTTTTAAAATTTTAATAATGAGTTGGATTGGGTTTATCAAAATAGAGCGCAACTAAAAAATGGGTTTTAATGGGTCTTTCGTAGACCCATTTTGAACTCATTAGTAACTCTGGCACCAAAAGCTTAGTGCAGTTGGGGAAGTGATGAGATGAGATGAGTGAGGGAAAAATAAAAGCTTACTGCCCCAAAACCCACTAACCCACTAGTACTCACTACATGGATCAACACAACTGTTGAAACTTGCTAGAACAAGAATAACTCCCTGCAGTATTTTACGTGTACTCTTAAGCGAAACTATCTGCCCATTGTTACATGACACAGTATAAGGTTGCAATACTCTATCATCTCGTAAAGGGAAAAATCATGAGTATATAGACATTCACAAAAGCTTAAAGTAGGAGGGACACTGAAAAACAAAATGCAAAGCTCCTTAACATGGAAACTATTTAGCCAATAACAAAAGCATCAATTTACCCAGTCGAACAAGAAAGTGAGATCTTTCAAGGAACGGCACTCTCAAGTTTGCACATTGTTTCTCCTTGTTGGAGATTCCAACTTCTAGAACATCCCCTTGTTTTTCATATTTCTCTTAAAGAAGGAAAGAAATCAATAGTAAACATACTCGACGAATATAAATAAACCATCTACCATCCCCTTGCTTTCATATTTTTAGACAGAATTTGATGTACATATCGTGATTGATTTACAGTCATCTACTTCAGGAAAACTCTCAAAACATCCTTTTCAAAGATCACTGTAACAAACC